AAAAAAAAAAAAAAAAAAAAAAAAAAAAAAAAAAAAAAAAAAAAAAAAAAATTGAAATAGTATCCTCTCGAAAATTCCATTAAAGCAACGATACACACGTTAACTCACTACCACGTAAAATTTTAGAAAAACGAAAAAAAAGTCAGGCATACTAAAATAATGAAAAAAAAAAAAAAAGGAAAGAAAAAGAAATAAGCCGACGCCATTTATGTCTAAACAATTTACTTGGGTCTAAAAAAAAAAAGTTCAAATAATAAAAACGATTGAATTGTACAATAAAATGTATCTTGTCGCCTACATAGATATACATATATAAAGAATACATATATATGATTTTTATAAACGTGCGACCTTTATCAAACGTTGTTAATAAAACTTTCTATCGTAGCATACTAGCCACGGCGCGATTACGTTTGTTTAAAGCCGAAAAGTGCTTTGTCAAATGTCAAAGGACAAATGGCGTACAGTAAGTTAAATTGTTAACGAATGAACATTTTTTGATTCTATACTTAACGAGTACGAATGCACATGTATGCATGTTTAAGCCGATACATACAATATATAATACGTACCTGTAGATAGCTACATTTATTCAACTTGAGCGTTAAGGCCTGTAAACTTGGAAACTTCGAAAGCACGAAAGGGAGGCTCAAAAGCTCCTTATGGCACAACTTGCGTGCTTTTGTTTTACAAATCATAACAGGCCTTCGTCTTACGTGTTTGTACATAAGAGAGCTGTAGTAAAATGAAACTTGTAGAGATTCCCCCCCAGTGGCGGCTAGTCTGGTACTGCGTATTACCTTATTATTGTTATGCTAGTCACTCGAGTAATGCACTTGCATCTGAATACAAGTTACATGTACTTGTTCAAGCTTTGTCTTTGTCTCAGATCCAATTAGCGTTTAAGATAACATTTATTTTTAATGCATTTAGCACATATATATATCTTTTACGAAAGTATTATCATCACCCTTGCTATATGGTTTGTTGGTAAATATTGTGTTTTTGTTTCACAAGTAATATAATGGACGATTATCGTTATGCGTTTGTGCCGTTTTGTTATAGGTACTGCAAGTTGCTTACGATGTAAGATGAAAAAAAAAAAAAAAAAAAAAAAATTATGGATAACACCAACAGTTATTCGATACATAAGTGCTTTGAAGGCTCAAGACCATTAGGCGAAGAAACGTTATTGAAAAAAGGTTCATTATTTACGAAACAAAATTAGGTTTTTAACTTTAAATGAGTAATTGTTATAAATGCGTGAGATTTTACTTTTTGAAAATTATCACTGTAAATTGTTATACTTTTGTACAATTGTGTCTTGATGACGCAAGCGTATAGGAAGAGATATATATATATACAAATATGTATATGCACAAACAATAAAAAATGTAAATCTTTGTCATTCCAAGTTACGCTTTTGAATATAGAAATTTAATGAGACGTTAGGTATTTTAAATGCATTTCCAAGAGTATACGTATGTTATCTGTTAGAAAGATTGATAAAATTTTATTGATATTAACGAAATGAATAACTAAAAATAAATAATATAAAGTAATTCAAGTTGTATAACAGAGAAATGAACGTGTGTGTATATATATTTATATATACACGTAAACACAGCAGTCTTCATGATTCGTGCTTAAATACTATAGTACTATACGGATTATTTTTATATAGATCTAAAGTATACATATAAAACAGAAAACAAAAATTTGTGCCAGAAAATATAAATACAAAAAATGTACCAACGCAAACAAAAACTGTAACGAATAATAAATATTTAAAAATAAATTTTCATAGTACCTGTAACATTCATGAAATAAATCTATCACTAATGTAAGAAAATTAAAAAGTTCAGTTAATTGTTGAATAAATTTGTTAACAGTATTCGTCAAGTCGCGTGGCTGAGGGATTGTAATTTTTTCTCTCTGTGTCTGAAAGAAAATACTTGAATAAATTATTTTCATTCGTTTTATAACATTGCATTTCTACATTACGCCCCACTCTACAATATTTATTTTATTCATTTTGCTTGGACAGCAAGCGATTTCACAATTCTAATTTTGTTGGGTGAGCAAAATACAAGTCAAAATAATAGTTTTTAAAAATTTTATTTCTTCTACCTCTCTAGCAAAGACTTGGAACACTACAATTCATGTATGATTTTTTTCAAATTACTTAGAGCATATGTTACATGGTATGTATATATATATA